CAGCCCCCCGCCCCCCCCGCTCCCCACTCGCACATCCAGCAGGCCCCCGCGCTGCACCCGCCGAGGCTGCCGTCTCCCCACGCTCCCCTGCAGCCCCTGCAGCCCCAGAGCCAGCCCGCGCCCGCCCCGGCGCAGCCGCACGCGCAGCCCCCGCTGCACGGCCAGCCCCAGCCTGCCCCTCACAGCCTGCAGGCCCAGCCGCTGCTGCCCCACGCCGGGCCTGCCCAGCCCTTCTCCCTGCCCGCCCAGCCAGCTCAGTCTCAGGTGCCCCTCCAGACGCAAGCCCCGTCCCACTCGCACTCGGGGCTGCAGGTGACGCAGCCCGTGCTGCCCAGCACGGCCTCGCTGCAGCCGGCGCAGCCGCCCCGCGAGCAGCCGCTGCCGCCCGCCCCCATGGCCATGCCTCACATCAAACCTCCCCCCACCACGCCCATCCCGCAGCTGCCCACCGCTCCGGCCCACAAGCACCCTCCCCATCTCTCCGGGCCGTCTCCGTTCTCCATGAACTCCAACTTGCCTCCGCCGCCCGCTCTGAAGCCGCTGAGCTCGCTGAGCACTCACCACCCTCCGTCCGCACACCCTCCTCCCCTGCAGCTGATGCCTCAGAGCCAGCCGCTGCAATCCTCGCAAGCCCAGCCTCCCGTTCTGACCCAGAGCCAGAGCCTTCCTCCTCCTGCCAGTCACCCCCCCTCTGGACTCCATCAGGTTTCCTCCCAGCCGCCCTTCTCTCAGCACCCCTTTGTGCCCGGGGGCCCCCCTTCCATCACGCCTCCTTCGTGCCCCTCCACTTCCACGCCGCCCACCGTGCCTGGCATCCCTCTGCAGACCCCCATCTCCACGTCAGCAGCTTCTAGTGGGACAGTGCCCGTGGTGACAGCCTGCACGCTGCCACCCATCCAGATCAAGGAGGAGGTCCCTGATGAAGCTGAGGAGCCAGAGAGCCCTCCACCCCCACCCCGGAGTCCATCCCCAGAGCCCACCGTGGTGGATATCCCCAGTCACGCCAGTCAGTCAGCCAGGTATGGAGCTTCCATCAGTGCTCTTTGCCTCTTCTGTACTCCACTGTCTGTGGACCAGTACAGTTAATTTTCTCCTGTCTTTCTGGGAAGCTGGTAGTGTTTGGTGTAAGTGTAGAATGCTATTTTTTAGTTTGGGCATACAGCTCTCAAATCGCACGCTCTTGCACCTTTCCCAGGGCTGAGCTCTTCTCTCTTGTGTTCCTTTCAGGTTCTATAAGCACCTGGACCGTGGCTACAATTCATGCTCCAGGGCAGACCTGTACTTCATGCCTCTGGCAGGATCCAAACTGGCCAAGAAGAGAGAAGAGGCCATCGAAAAGGCCAAAAGGGAAGCGGAGCAGAAAGCCAGGGAAGAGAGGGAAAGAGAAAAAGAAAAAGAGAAGGAGAGAGAGAGGGAGCGTGAGCGCGAGAGAGAAGCGGAACGAGCTGCGGTAGGTCCAGTTCTGGCACGGAGCTGGGTAAGGGAATTGATGGCTGGGTCTGAGCTGGATGATGCTGCAGGATGCAGATCCCCAGGAGCACTTTAACACTCTCAGGGGTCTCTGAGCATGGAGCTGTGTGTAGGGACTGAAATCCAGCCCGCTCTGAGCACCTCTTGACCTGCCTGGGACTGTCTTCTCCTTAAAGGAAATGGAGAGTTTCTGCCCCTGGACTGGGTCTGTGGGAAGCCAGAGCAGCTGGGCAGAACTAGGCCAGTTGTTTGCATTTACCTTGCAGTAGGAGAGCACTGTGCAGACACAGTGAATGCCTTTGTGTCCTCGCACACGAGTGCTGTCTCCTGGAAAAGGGGCTGGAGGCGGAGGGGAGGTGTGTGTGTGGCTGAGGTGCTCTAAGCCAGCTGTGTTGACCTGAGGCTCTCTCCCCCCGTTGTGTGCAGCAGAAGGTGTCCAGCTCCTCCCACGAGGGCCGTCTCGGCGAGTCCCAGCTCAGCGGGCCGGCCCACATGAGGCCTTCCTTCGAGCCCCCCCCGACCACCATCGCGGCCGTGCCCCCCTACATCGGGCCGGACACGCCGGCGCTACGGACGCTGAGCGAGTACGCGCGGCCCCACGTCATGTCCCCGACCAACCGCAACCACCCCTTCTTCGTGCCCCTCAACCCCACGGACCCGCTGCTGGCCTACCACATGCCCGGCCTCTACAACGTGGACCCCACCATCCGCGAGCGGGAGCTGCGCGAGCGCGAGATCCGCGAGCGCGAGATCCGCGAGCGGGAGCTGCGCGAGAGGATGAAGCCCGGCTTCGAGGTGAAGCCCCCGGAGCTGGACGCGCTGCACCCTGCCACCAACCCCATGGAGCATTTCGCCAGGCACGGGGCACTGACTATCCCACCCACGGCGGGGCCTCACCCCTTCGCCTCCTTCCACCCGGGGCTGAACCCCCTGGAGAGGGAGAGACTGGCGCTGGCGGGGCCGCAGCTGCGGCCGGAGATGAGCTACCCGGACAGGCTGGCGGCCGAGCGCATCCACGCCGAGCGCATGGCCTCGCTCACCAACGACCCCCTGGCGCGGCTGCAGATGTTCAACGTCACCCCCCACCACCACCAGCACTCACACATACACTCGCATCTACACCTACACCAGCAGGACCCCCTACACCAAGGTGAGCCCCTGGGGCTGGGTGCTTCCGCAGGGAGCAGCTGGGAACGGGCCAGGTCTGAGCCTGGAACCCACGTGGGAAAATGCCCGTCTTCATGTCCCTGTTGTGGTTCTGTGCTGTGTAAGGTTGTGGGAACTAAAGTGCAGTTACCTTTTGTGGGGTGATGGTAACACCTCGGCGATCTTCCTTCAGACTCTCACTGTGAAAGGTTTGCTGCTTTGTTGTTGTGGGTTGGTTTTTTTAAGTGCTGCTGTCCTAGAGCAGCACCTTACAGCTGTAATAATTAATACTCTCAGAAATGAATCTGTGCCTTGCCCATTTCTGAAGCAAGATACGTGATTACTGCTCCAGAGTCCTGAGATGAGGCACTCAGCAGAAATGTTCACATTTTCTGGTGACAGACTGGAGAGACCATGGCAAGCCAGGCACCAGGTGCTGCAGCTGCCAAGTGAGGGCAGGGGAAAGTCAGAGTAAAATGCCAGAGTAAAATGCAGGTTCTGGTGTCTGGCTGCCAGTGCAGTGTTTGTGCAAGCAAATGTAGAGTTCTTCGCCCTGGAGCAAAGTGTCCATTAAATGTGCTGGGATGCCCACTTTTGGAGCTGGAGGGAACGTGAGTGCAGTTGCAGAAGCCAGATGGGACAGCAAGGAAAGCTGCAGGGTGCTGTGAGGTTCTGGAGGGCTGGGGGGTTGCAGGTGGGACGTGGCAGTGCTGGATATCAGCATTGCTGAAGCTGCTGAGGCTCACTGCAGGAATCACAGATGGGCTCAGGTGCAGGCAGGTTTGCAAACCTCCCTGGCAGCAGAGGAGTTTGACACAGGCTGTGTGTGTACAAGGATCCTGTTGCCAGCTGAGCCAGTCAGTGAGCACCTCTGTGCAGGTAAGTCTGGATGCTCCCCAGGTGCTTGTTCTGGGCAAAACCATGGCTTGTACATTGTCCCTGCCAGTCCAGAGGGAGGCTGGTGCAGACACAGCCAAGGCAGTTCACTGCCAAGTCTCTCTGTGTGTTTGAGGAGTAATTTGGCTTTGTGCTCTGCCAGGTCCAAGCACAGTGAGGGGCTCTGGGGTGGTTCTTGCTCCAGGTGGCTCCTCCTGTGCTCAAGGCTGTCAAAACCCCTCTCTCTCCTTAGAGTGGGGATGAGCAGAGGGTGGAGTGACCCCACATTTGTGCTGTGCACCAGCTGAGGGAATTGTTGTGGCTTTCTGTTCCTTTCCCCGGTGGAAACTTTCTCTCCTTCTCTCTCAGGCTCAGCAGGACCTGTTCATCCCCTGGTGGATCCTTTAGCAGCTGGACCCCACCTGGCACGTTTTCCATACCCACCTGGGACCATCCCCAACCCATTGCTAGGGCAGCCACCTCACGAGCATGAAATGCTCCGACATCCAGTCTTTGGTGAGAGCATTTTATGGTCCTTAGCAAGGGTTGGCTTTGATCTGCAGTGCCATCTTTTACTCTGGGGTTTAACATTTCTCAGTGGGGGGACTCGAGCCGTGACTTTGGGTGGCCGTGGTGGCTTGGTGGGATGAACAAGAAGCAAACCAGAGTGTAAAAGTGGTGCCTGTCCCCCAGGTACTCCCTACCCTCGGGATCTGCCTGGTGCCATTCCACCTCCCATGTCAGCAGCCCACCAGCTGCAGGCCATGCACGCCCAGTCCGCAGAGCTGCAGAGACTGGCAATGGAGCAGCAGTGGTTGCACGGGCACCCTCACATGCACGGTGGGCACCTACCCAGTCAGGAAGATTATTACAGGTGAGGCTGCTTTTGGGGACCTGGGAATTGCATCCTCTTTCTCCACATCCCTTCTCTTTCTCTCGGAATTTTCACCTCTCTTGCTGTGTGCTGAGCCCCGATGCAGTTAGAGCTGAAAGCTGTGCTCAGACCTGCTGTGGGCACATGGGAAGCGAGGTCCAAATTTCTGGCACAACATGAGAACAGCTGGGTGTCTGTCCTGTGGCAGAATCCCCTGTCATGTCCCACCTGCAGAGCTGGCACTGGTGACTGTGCTCACCCAGGGGTACCCTGGGCTGGGGTGGTGCTCAGAGCTCACAGCCCTGCTCCCTGCAGGAGGGCAGAGCAGTCTCCTGTGTCTCACACCTCCTTGGTTGTGTTAAAATGAGTTTTCTTTCTCTTGCAGTCGACTGAAAAAAGAAGGCGACAAACAGTTGTAATAAATTATTTATTTGTAACGCTGGCTATGGAAACCCCAGTCCTTGGGAAGGAGTGGAACATTTTTACATACAAGAAGAGCTACAAAAGGAAAAGAATATCTTATAAAGATTTCTTTATATATTTAAAACAGAAGCAGCCACCCAACAAGTAGAGACTTATCAGCATAGTGTTCATTTGTAGAGAAGATTTCTCAAGACTGGTGTGGGTCTCCCTGCATGAAAACGTATTCAGAAGCCTATTGGAAATACAGGACTGTGTGGAATATTCAGAGAACTTCCTGCAATCTTGGTTTTTTTTTTTTTCCTTTTCTTTTCTTACTAGTTTGTTTTCAGTAGGTGCTAGAATCAGGTTCACAACACAAGTCACTGTGCGTGAAGGGACACTCAATGCATCTATAGGTAATTAAAAAAAAAAACAAGGATTGCAAGTAGGTGACATAACAAGCTCTGAATCCAAGTGCTATAATAATAAAAAAAATCTACTTTTATTTTAATACATTGTAGGAAATCTTCATAATTTTAAAGAGAGCTCAGTTCTGCAGCATGGCTTTTTAAGTCTGTAAATAACTTTTTTTGGGTAGAGGGGAGAAACAAAACAAAACAAACTCCAGAAACGTTTATCTTGATTTTCAGTAACATCACAAATTGTGAATTCCTACCTGGTATTGACAGAATACAGAGTTGATTTTTTAATAAAATATATATATATAATTATCCCTTTAATTAAAGGGAATGATGGGTATCAATAATTTCAAATGGGTAAAAGCTTGACATTTGGTTTGATATCAACAATAAGCATTAAAGGGATTTGCAGGGATAATGTTGCAAATGACTGTTTCTGTTCTTGGTTTTTTGGTTGGTTTGGTCGTTTGGGGGTTTTTGTTCGTGTTCCATCTCTCTGTTCTGCAGCTGATTTTGTTGAGTTGGGTTTCTCAGCAGCTCAGATGTCCCTTGGACCCCGCTGACCCTTTTGGTGCCACCTTCAACAGTTCATTTCCAGTGTGGCCATAAAACGCTTCTTTCCCGTGACCTTTTGAAACTTAATCCAGCTCCACTGGGCAGAAAGTTCAGAGAAACAATCTGTCCTAAAAATCTCTTTTTAAAGATGTTCCAGGGTTCTGTGCTTGGGGAGGACGTGCCTTTCCTGGCCTCCTGTCTGATAAATTCCTAAGAAAAGTGGGCTTGGCAGCTTGGTTTTCATGGAGTTGTGTTGCAAAGACCAGTCTGTTTTTCTCTTTGTTTGAGTTTGGGTTTTTCTAAGCAAAAACTGCTTAACTGCCACCAGTGTTGTGTCCCCGAGCTCGGAGTGCTCTGGGCCAGGACACTTTGTGCCTCCCCACCCACAGTCCCTGCAGGGTGGCTCCTCTGGGCCACTTCCCACCAGGATGGGGAGAGGAGAGGAATTCACAGCGAGCATTCAAGGAGGCAGCTCTGCTTACAAGTCAGATTTTTAACCTTTTTTTCCCCTCAGTTTTGCCACAGTTTTTCTTTGCTGGAGCAGAGGGTGATGTGACCGAGGGACATCTGAAGCTGCTGGTGATTTTTTTCTGCTGGTGCACAACTGCCCCCGTTCTCTCTCTCCACTCACAGTGCTCTCTGCTGCTGTAGCCTGTTCAGTGTGATGGTTGTGTCCTAGGACTGCCCTGAGCCACTCTGATGAGGTTGTAGTTAATCAGCTGCAGGCACAGTGCTCATCCCCCTCCTGCTGCTCAGCCCGTTCCCCACTTAAAAACTCTTCCAGGCCCACTAAGGCAAGAGTGGAGGGGATTTTCCTGCTGGAATTCCCTCGTTGCTGTGCCCCAGTGCAGATCTCAGTGCTGAAGCCCTGCTGAGGTGTTCCACCAGCCCTGCTGTGTTTCACTCTGGGTGAAGGTGTGGGGAGGGACACGTTCTGTTCCTGGCCAGTCCAGGATCCAGGGAGGTGAAGTCCTTGTCCTTGTGGCTGTGGGCAGGGATGGGATGAGAAGGTTTCCTTGGGGAACAGGGATGATTTTTGCTCAGGGCTGAGCAGCCAGGAGGGTGGGCCTGCTCAGCAGAGAGTGCCTCAGTGTGCTGTAAAGGGCTCATCAGGCACATCTCAGTTCAGCTTCTCCCCTCCTTTTGTTCTGCTGTGTGGAACTGGGGAGTCTGGGAGAGTTCAGCCATTTCTTCTGACCCTTCTCTTGCTGTTTTTTAGCCATAGTTCTTCAGATAAAGGAAAGCTAATTCCCTCCAGTGGTCTTCTCTGTATTCCTTATTTTTCAGCTGAAATTACAGTCTGTTTTAAAGTTGTTCACTGATTTATTCTTGTTTTTCCCAGAAGAGCATTCTAATAATTTATGGGAGCTTTTTTGTTCACATCATTCAGCAAATAAGCACTGAAATTCCTCAGTTTTAGCCCAGTGATTAACTACAACTTTACCTGCAGTGGCTTCTGAAGCCGTCTCGGTGTTCGATGCCCTGTTTTTAAAAAAAAAAACAACCCAGACCTTTTGATTTTCTTTCAAGAAATCTCTCTTTATTTTTCCTCTGTTCCGAAAGTTTATTTTAAAATTTTGCTTTAGTGTTTTTGAAACGTCTCTCTTGTTCTATGTCGTCATGGTTGAGCTTGTTTCACTGCACCGTTCGAGCAGAGTGTACATTCTGACTGCTACATTTATATATATCTTGAAGCTTAATGTATATATGAGTAGTTTGCCATGGGATAACACAGTGTAAACAGAGTAGAAACCCAGAAATCGTGACTTCTGTGTTCTCTCCATTTGAGTATTTTGTAATTTTTTTGAAATATTTGTGGACATAAATAAAACCAAGCTACACTACAGCAGCCAGGTTTTGCCTGCAAGTGAAATGTGTCTCTTGATTGTTGTTGGTGGGAGAGGAGCTGCTTTCACCTGGGATGATGTGGGTGCTGCCGTGGCCACCTTGTCTGGTTCAAACCTGTCTTTTCTTGCCTTTATTTTTTCCCTCTTTGAGATAATTTTTTTTTTAATGCACAGTACACAAAAGCCAACATCACGTCCAGTTCTGCATCCTTGAGTGGCATTGCTGCTCTGCTGCTCAGTCTCCAGTTCAATACATGGGGACACCCCAGTGGCTGCATTTTTGGGAGTTCTTTTTCCTGGGAGAAGAAACAGCAAACAGGTTTTTCCTCATTTGAGCCCAAGTGACCCCGAGCTGGCAAGAGCTGCCCTCCAAAGGGGTCATTGCAGAGAGGGAGACCCAGAGCACCTCACTGCTCAGTGCCCTGGAAAAGCTGAGTTTGCCTTCCAGTTCCATCAGCTGGTGGCTCCCAGGGATGCAGCGTGTGAGTGAGTGGCGAGTGTGAGGATCAGCATCTCCCAACCCCAGTTAGGTGCTGGGATGGCACAGGGAGCTCTGCACAGCAATGTTGGCCAGCAGGGAGGTGGGCAGGCTGCTCCCTGCTCTGCTGCTGCTGTGGCAGTGTCAGCAATGGTGTTTTGAGTCCAGGTCAGGGTAATTCTTGCTCTGGGCACTCAGAGGAGTGAGCTGCTGCTGGGGCTGGGGGCAGGCACACGGGGCTGGGTGACACATGGCAGGATGCTGCTCTATTTACAGCCCCTGGCATTTTGGGAGGGGAAGGTCAGCTCTTGTCTGCTGGAAATAGCTTCTGAAAGTGCTTTTTCCAAGCCTGTGCTATTTATTTTGGCATTTCTTTTTTTAATTCCTCGTGTTCACTGTAGAACTTGAGGGGGCTCAGGCTGCACTGTCCTGCTTAGGAAGTTCTGAGTTTCCAGATGTGAAATGATGGATTCCACAGGGACGGGGCTGAGGAGGACTTTTACCCCTGGGTAAAGTGAACAGGGCAGTTACTGAATTGTGGTTCTGTGCTCGTGGGGTCCTGCTGTGGCAGGGGGAGCTGGCAGCCCTGGGCTGGGTGGCTTTGTCACCTTGGCACAGTTCTGTGAGGCCGTGTCAGCTCCAGCAGCCTCCCAACAGCTGGGGTTGGATAAAACACCCTTGGTGGGTTTGTCCTGCCTCTGACTTGGACTGTTCTAGTGTCACCCAGCTGTCACTTCTATCCTGCTCTCTAGTTCACTCCTTCACAGCTTCATGCTCTTTATGGAGGGGCAGCTAAAATGGGCATCAGCAGCAGTGTTTAAATGAAATGGATATCAACAACAGTGTTTAAAATTAAATGGACATCAGCAGCAGTGTTTGAAATGCACATCAGCAGCAGTATTTAAAATTAAATGGGCATCAGCAGCAGTGTTTAAATGAAATGGATATCAGCAGCAGTGTTGAAGATTAAATGGACATCAGCAGCAGCGTTTGCAGCAGTGCCAGGGGACCCTCAGGAGTAAAGGAACACGCTGTGGTGTCACCACTCTGCTTTCACATCCCTGTGCTGCAGATCGTGGGATTCCAGACTAATTCTCCCTTTTATTTAAAGCCGAGCTCCTTGGCTTCACTGATTTCTTCTGGAGAGAGTTTCTGGGCCAGAAACTGTTGGGAGGTGTTGTGACAGAAATGTCTTCATCTAAATGTAAATGTTGCTGCCCTGCCTCGGGCTGCCTTTGAGAGGCTTTTTTCTGTGGCAAGCAGCTCCAAAGTAATGGTCCCAATCAATTTATTCATGTCAATAAAAGCTCTTTTATATGTTTATTTGAAATGTATTCTGGGCTGATGGGATCGTGTTTGTTTTTCAAGCAGGTGTGTCAGATGGAGTGAGAGAGAGGGAGCAGGAAATAATAATGAGAATAATAATACAAATAGAAACAATAATAAGGAGAAGGAAAAGGAATGCTGTCGGTCTGGCTGGGAGGAGTTACAATTTGGGGTCTTGAGGGGGGGAAGAACAAAGTGCCTCAGTAGTGGGACACGAGGAAATAGGAGAGAGCTGCCAGTGCTGGGATGGCTCAGGTTGGGTCGGGCTGGGGTAAAGGAGATCCACACAAAGCCCCTGCCACAAACTGAGATTTTCTGAGTCACCCGAGTGCAGAAACATCTGCCTGTACATCTGGGACAGAGTCAGCCTGACATTCTCTGGCCCCTGAAAAGGGAAGGCAGGTAAGGGGCGCCGCGCCAAATGCAAACCACAATTCCTAAACTTATTTGTGTTCTGCAATGAAGTGTGAATTCTGTACGTGCATCTCCTGCCAGCAGCAGCCACGAGCAGGGCTCTGTGTGCCTGCCTTCCATTTCCTTGTGAGCTGAGCTTGTGGGGTACCCGAGTGTGCCCTGGCAGCCTCAGGCCACGGGCTGGGCAGTGCTGGTGGCAGTGCCAGCTGCTGTGCCCTTGCAGGTTGTGTAACCCTGCCTGCAGCTGCAGCCTTTCCTTTCTCTCCAGCAGCAGCTTGGCATTCGTGACAAATTACTTAATGGCCCACTGAGGGATAAATCTGTGCCCAGGCTGTGCCAGTCTGTCCAGGTGAGGGACAAATCTGTGCCCAGGCTGTGCCAGTCTGTCCAGGTGAGGGGTAAATCTGTGCCCAGGCTGTGCCAGTCTGTCCAGGTGAGGGGTAAATCTGTGCCCAGGGGGGGTGATGCCTGTGCCAGTCTGTCCAGGTGAGGGACAAATCTGTGCCCAGGGCTGTGCCAGTCTGTCCAGGTGAGGGATAAATCTGTGCCCAGGCGGTGCCAGTCTGTCCAGGTGAGGGGTAAATCTGTGCCCAGGCGGTGCCAGTCTGTCCAGGTGAGGGATAAATCTGTGCCCAGGCTGTGCCAGTCTGTCCAGGTGAGGGACAAATCTGTGCCCAGGCGGTGCCAGTCTGTCCAGGTGAGGGACAAATCTGTGCCCGGGGGGGTGATGCCTGTGCCAGTCTGTCCAGGTGAGGGATAAATCTGTGCCAGGGCTGTGCCAGTCTGTCCAGGTGTATTTTGGTTCTGCCACCACTCCCAGGGTGCTGCTGCTGCTCCTTGGCTTCCCTGGTACAGAACAGAGGTAAAGCTTCCTACTGCTCTAAATGAGAGTTTAGTTCTTCCAGAAGAGCTGTGGGCAGAGGGATTCCCACCGCTGGTGCAACAGAGATGGAAGAGACTCAGCAGAGGCTTTTGAGAGCCCTGAATCCTGATGGCTCCAGGGTTTGTGATTGCAGTGCCACCATTCCAGTGGGACCTGAGTGCCGGGTTACTGTCACCCTCCGTGCAGTCCTGACTGTGCCAGCCCCACCCTGAGCTGCTGGACTGGCACGGACCCCGTGCAGGAGGAGTGGTGCAGCTGGCTCCATGCTCTCACAAGGCTCCGTTATTACTTTATGATATGATATTAATGAATACTACACTGAGTGTGCTGAAGAGTGCAGAAAGGACACTTACTGAATGCTAAAAAGAGAATAAAATATAAAAAATATAAAATGTGTCCTGACTGCAGCTCTCAGTGTGATTGGAGATGGGGCACTGGGCACTGACCAGGGCACTGACCAGGCACTGACCATGGCACTGACCATGGCACTGACCAGGGCACTGACCAGGGCACTGACCATGGCACTGACCATGGGGCACTGACCATGGCACTGACCATGGCACTGACCAGGGCACTGACCATGGGGCCCAGGCACTGACCATGGGGCCCAGGCACTGACCATGGGGCACTGACCAGGCACTTTGAGGAGGGCACTGAGCAGGCACTGAGCAGGCACTGACCATGGGGCACTGACCATGGGGCACAGGGCACTGACCAGGGCATAGACAATGGCACTGACCATGGGGCCCTGGCACTGACCAGGCACTGACCAGGGCACTGACCAGGCACTGACCATGGCACTGAGCAGGCACTGACCCATGGGGCACTGAGGAGGGCACTGAGCAGGCACTGAGGCTCCCTCCTTGCCCAGGCTGGCCGCGCTGCTGTCCCGTGCCCCCCGAGGCCCCGGTGCCAGGGCAGGATTTGCCACGGGATGGCAGCAGCTGCTCGGGAAACGGGAACCAGCCCTGGAGCATCTCCGGCAGCCTCAGCAGTGACATTCTCCGTCCCTGCCCCGGCCCTCCGCCCCCTGCAGCTCTCGGATTATTTTTGGCCGAGGTGGAAATCACAAGCCCGGCATTGTCCCGGCAGGGAGTGACCCGGGAGGAGGAGGAGGAGGAGAAGCCTGGGCTGCTCTCTCAATCAATATCCACACTTCTGCACGCCCGGGGCTTTCTCTGGGCACACCAGAGAGCTTTTTTAGGGGCTGCTCTGTCCCCCAGGTCACCCTGAGCTCAGCTGGGCAGGGGGAAACTGAGGCACAGCTCGCTGAGGTCACACAGGGGCTGGCACTGTCCCCGTCCTGCTCCGGGTCGTTCCTGTGGCTCCGGCTTTGCAATGGGCAGGTTCCTCTGGGCTGTGCCTTGGGTAAAATAAAACACTCCTCGGAGCCAGGGAATGCTGCTGCCCTGCCAGGCACAGGGTTCGGCTTTTGGGGAACGGCTGTGAGCGTGCGGGAGCCGGTCTGGCACGGAACTCACCCGGCTGGAAAGCTGAGCGGGGGAGGAAATTGTGGGGAGGGGGTCAGGGGCACCCCAGTGAGCTGGGAGAGGGGGTCAGGGGCACCCCAGTGCCCTGTGAGGGGGTCAGGGGCACCCCACACCCCAGTGCCCTGTGAGGGGGGGTCCACTGCCCCCCAGCCCCCGTGGGCAGGGCAGAGCCCAGCGGGGTGTCCCAGCTGTCCCCTCTGCTCCCCCCGTGCTGGAGCTGCCTGGAGCTCCCACTGACACAGAGCACACGAGGAGCAGAGCCGGCCCAGCCACAGCGGCTGGAGTGATTCACACACAGCAATCAGCCGCTCCCGGGCACAGCTGCCAGGGGGGCTGCAGCCCCCGGCCCAGCCGTGACCCTCATCCTGCAGCCTCACATCCACAGCCAGGGCTGGGCTGTGGGGCACGAACCCCCCGAGCTCCTCTTGCCCCTGC